TATCAAAGAACAACGTGAACCAAGATCAACGAGAGCTGCCAAACCTAACTATAAAATATAATCATGGAAGAGAAAAAATTGATTACAATGAATATAAATGGACTTAATTCGGCTGTTAAAAGAAGGAAAACCTTTCATAAATTAGGGAAATTAAAATTTGACATAATTTGTCTACAAGAAGTACATATTAAAAAACAACATGAACAATTGTTAGTACAGCCAAAATTAGGGAAAATATTTACTTCTTTGACTCAATGTAAGAAAAGAGGAGTGGTTCTATACATTAAAGAGGCTATCCCAGCAAAGTTGATTCATACTGATGAAGATGGAAGAGTATTAATGGTGGAAATAATGGACAATATAAAAATACTCTTGATTGCAATTTATGCTCCGAATGATAAACAAGAAGAATTCTATAAAAAACTACACATGAAAATAACTGGACTGGACTATGTTAATATAATTATGATGGGAGACTTTAATGGAATTGTGGACAATAAATTGGACTATATAGCAACAACAACAAAGCAAAATAGAAAGATTCTCCCTAAATCCTTTTTTAAAATGACAGATGAATTAACCTTAAAAGACATTTGGAGAGAAAGAAATGTTAAAACTAAACAATACACTTTCTATTCAAATAGACATTTATCATGGTCCAGATTGGATATGATTTGGATCTCAACAGAATTAATATCTAATATTCAAGAAACAAATATTGAAACAAGTACTTGGGCAGATCATAGCCCAATGACAATTAAATGGAATGGACAAAAGAAAAGATCGAGATGGACATTAAACAATACTATCTTAAAGGAAAAAGATTTTACACAATGGATGGAGAAAGAATTGGCTTTTTTCTTTAGAGAAAATAAAAAAGAAGATACTTCAATACAGAATGTTTGGGATACAATGAAGGCATATGCTAGAGGTTTGATAATAGATTATATAAGAAAAAAGAATATTAGGAAAAGGCAAGCCACTAAAGCCTTGGAAGATGAGTATACAAGACTTGAAAAAGAATTACAGAAAATGCCACAGAAAAAGGATATTAAATTGAAATTGGACATAACTAAACATAAAATGGAACTAATAGAGAAAGAAGAACTGGCACAGAAAATCAGAAATGCTAAACAGAATTATTTTGAAGATGCAAATAAACCAGGTAGATGGCTAGCATATAAATTGAGAAAGGAGAAAGAATCAAGAAAAATATTGCAGTTAATAGATGACCAAGGCCAAGTTTGTTATGGTAATAAGGAGAAAAAGGAAATTATTCGAGACTTCTATGGGCAACTATATAAACAAGAGAATATTGATGAGGAAAAAGTCAAGCAGTATCTACAGAATGCTAACCTACCTAAGATATCTAAAGAGACTGAAGAAATGCTAGAAAGCAATATAACAATGATGGAATTAACTGAAGCACTTAAGAAACAAAATAATGGGAAAGCACCAGGTCCAGATGGGCTTCCGGCAGAATTCTATAAAACATTACAAGAATCATTGAGCATTGAGTTATGAATGAAGCTATGTCAAAGAAGATGATACCCAAAACATGGCCAGAGGCTTATATTACACTTATTCCAAAAGAAGAGGCTGATCCACTGCAAATTAAGAACTATAGACCTATTTCTTTATTAAATGCAGACTATAAAATCTTTGCTTCAATTTTAGCAGAAAGACTTAAAAAATATTTAAATAATTTCATTCATCCAGACCAAAATGGATTTCTGCCAAAGAGACAAATTAGAGACAATATGAGAGTAATCCTGGATACTTTGGAATACTATGAGGCACATCCTGAAAAGCAAATGGCTTTGATATTCTTAGATGCTCAAAAGGCATTTGATAATGTGAACTGGAGATTTATGTTATTACTATTGGAACAGATGGGTTTTGCTAGAAAATTTATTCAAGCAATAGAAGCCACATACAATAAGCAGACAGCAAAGGTAATGATGGAGGGAGAACTTACAGACTTTATCAATATAAGAAAAGGCACAAGACAAGGATGTCCCCTATCTCCTTTGCTATTTGTATTGACTTTGGAAGTGTTGAATAGAAATATTAGAGATGATAAAAGCATAAAAGGAATGAAAATTAAAAAGGAAGAATTTAAACTCCAAGCCTTCGCGGATGACTTAGCCTTTATTTTGGAAGATCCTTTAGAAACAGCTCCAAAGTTATTGGAAAAGATAGAGATATATGGTGAGGTGGCTGGTTTGAAAATAAATAAAGACAAAACAAAGATCTTGACAAAGAACATGCTACTAAGACAAAAAGAAGAACTGGCAGACCTGTTGAAAATCCAAGTCACGAATAAGGTCAAGTATCTGGGGATATACTTGACATCAAGATGTAGTACATTAAAAGAGAATAATTATATTAAACTTAAACAACAGATAGCTTTAGATTTGAAGAAATGGGAAAATTTACAATTGTCATTAATAGGGAGAATTCAACAATCAAGATGAATATTTTACCCAGAATCTTATTTTTGTTTCAAACAATACCAATTAGACTCGGAAAAGACTATTTTGAAGACTTAAATAAAATTATGCTGAAGTATATATGGCAAGGTAAGAAAGCGAGAATAAAGCTAAAGCTTTTGCAAGATGCTAGAATTAGAGGAGGTTTTGGCCTGCCTAATTGGGAATTGTACTACCAAGCTGCAAATTTGATGTGGGTCAAGGAATGGATAACATTAAGAAAGACTAGATTGTTGACACTAGAAGGTCATGATTTGCTGTTGGGTTGGCACGCTTTTTTATGGTATAAGGGAACTAAAACACAGGGTTATTTTAGAAGACATTATATACGGGAGTCTTTGTGGTTAAACTGGGAGAAGATAAAAAGACAATGTTATTTGAAAATTCCAGTTTGGTTATCGACTATTGAAGCATTTTCCTATCCTATAATTTATAAGAAGGAACAAACAGTTAGATATGGGGAACTATTGGATGAAAAGGGTGAACTTAAATCGATACAAAATTTAGAGGAACAAGGTATAAAGATGAATTGGTTTTCATATGCGCAAATACATTCAAGGTATGATGAAGATTCTAAAACAGAGGGATTTTATGATAAACAGACTGATCTAGATAAGATCTTGACAGGTACTGATGAGAAGGTGATTAAAAAATTATATGGTTATTTACTGGGAATTAAGCTAGAGGAAGAACAAGTTAAAGAAACTATGATTGTTTGGGGGAAGAATTCTGGATATGGGATTGATTTAGAGAAATGGCAAAAATTATGGTCACAAAATTATAAAATGACAATGTCAACAGCTTATAAAGAAAATTTGTATAAGATGTTTTACAGGTGGCACTTTCCCCCGACGAGGATAGCAAGAATGTTCAAGAATAAATCTGAAAAATGCTGGAAATGTCACCTGGCTCATATTTCCATATGTGGTGGACTTGTGAGGATGCTAGAAAATATTGGACTAAAATTCGCATGTGGTTGGAAAAAATGACAAAGAAACGCATAGATTTGAAACCGGAGTTTTTTTAATTGGGAATCTTACCAGATACATACAGTAAAGACTTGAAATATCTGATTGTAAATGTATTAACAGCGGCTAGGATTGTATTTGCTAAAAATTGGAAGAATGAGAAAATACCACCGCAGGAAGAAATTATTAAGAAAATATTGGAATGTGCTGAGATGAGTAGATTGACATTTGAAATTAGAGAGCAAGAGGATAAACAATTTTATGAAATTTGGGACCTTTTCTATCAATGGTTGGATGACAAAATACAATAATAGAATATTTAGAATGTTAGACAACAAGGAATATCTTTGTTTTTTCTTTCTCTTTTGTTATTTGACATCATATCTATAAAGTGTTTTTAGGATAGATTTGGTATGATTATATGATTTGTTATAGAATAAACCATTTAAAGTATAGTTATCTCATAAAGTATGAATGAATAAAATCATAGTCAAATGATTTTTTAATAGCGATATTAGGATATATAAGTTTGGATTGACAATATGAGTTATTATGTAATATAACTGTAATTGAGACTACGAAATGAATGCACAAAACTGATGAACCAACCGACACACTGTATATGTATATATGGAAGAGAGTTGATGTTTTTATATTTTGTTTGTTTTGTTTGTTTTTTAAAAAATCAATAAAATTGTTTTCAAAAAAAAAAAAAAGAGTGATTGGTAGTTTCATCTCCACTAGCAGGTGACTATTGTTAGGAAGAAAAAGATGCCAGAAAAATCAACTAATCTCTTTCTTTAAAATGCCTTACAATAAATTGGTAAGAACTATCCACTGACTTGGTTGTAGCAGAAGAGAGATCTGCAGCGGCGGTCACACAATTTATACCACCGTTGTTTTCCAGTCAGCTCAAGGATTGATGGTTAGCTGTCTTGAGAAACAGCTGTGCAAAATATCTTATTAGGACAAAGAATCACTTGGAACTTTTAGGTTAGCAGTTATCCAAATATGTCCTTTTAAAATTAGAAATAGCAAATCTTTTACAACAAATACCTTATTATTATAGTATAACCAATAGCACATATACTGCTCCATAGTGCTTTTACAGCCCTCTCTAAGTGGTTTACAGTCAGCATATTGCCCCCAACAATCTGGTTCCTCATTTTACCAAAGGATGGAAGGCTGAGTTAACCTTGAGTCCATTAGGATGAAACTCTTGGCAGTGATAGCCTGCAACACTGCATTCGGACCACTGTACCACCACGGCTTCTATTATTATGGTTAGTGACAGAGTCAGCCAGATGTTTACACTCAACTTGGCATTTTTGTCCATCTATCAACATGTCCTCCTTAAGAACCTGGAATTGGCAGGTGTTGATGCTCAATAATATTAATGCTATTGTCACAGTGTGTAAGCTGTTCTGGGTCAAGCTGCCTTTTGCAATTGACTGGTGGTGATTTTGTCAATGCCGATGGTGTTCAAGTGGTGCTTCCAACCTTTTGGGATTGTACCCAAGACACCTATTATTATTGGTACTATCACTGCTTTATTTTGTCACAGTCGTTCTACTTCAATTTGCAGGTCTTCGTATTTTGTGATTTTCTCCAGTTCTTTTTCTTCTATACTGCTGTGTTCAGGTATGGTCAGGTCCACTATCCAGATTTTTTTTCCTTATCTTTCTTTTCAACGATAATTAAATCTGGGGTGCTATGTGGCAGGTATTTGTCTGTTTGCATTCTAAAGTCCCAGAGCACTTTAGCTTCTTCATTTTCTATTACTTTGACTATTTTGTAGTCTTACCAGTTCTTGCTTGCAGGCAAATGGTATTGACTGATGATGCAAAGTAGAATCATATCATACATATTTGGCTAGGTATAAGGTTCATTCCTTTGAGAAGCGAGAAATTGGGGTTTTCCCTTTTTTTAATCTGCAGTTCCCAAATGCTTATTTCCTAAACTATCTCGCTGATATTTTTGCAACTATGATTGATGGGTTTATTGAAGGGTTTTAATTTTGCCAAACCCACCAGATAAAGTCAGAAGTAAAATGGAATGGTAAACTTAATGCTTAGGTATGATTATTGTTCTTTTTTTTTAGATAAGTGCATTATATTAAGTTCTTGCAGGCTTTGATCTCTGAGTGTTGGTTCAAATCAATGGACCTATCAATATTCTGAAAAGGCAACTGGACATGTCTCTGTGAGTTCTCTTTCAGCAAGCACATCTCACTATTTTATTCTATGTAGTACCAGATTACCTTCAAATACAAAGCAAATAAAAATACCCGGAAAGAAAAAAAAAATTTTTTTTACTTCTCTGAGATTCTTCTTATGGAAACTTTTTGCAGACATGGCTTTTTTTTATTGGAATGTCGAAGACCAAATCTTGGATCTTACAGTGTAAAAAGTGCTGTGAGTTGCTATACATTTTTTTTAAAGGAAAAAAATCTTGCACTTTTTATTATACAACATTTTTCTACTTTTCTATTTTTGCTACAATAGAAACAGGAGTACAGGTCAAAAAATCAAGTATAAATTATCCTATTTTTTTTTCACCAGCTAGGACAAGTATACTCTCAGTTCTTTAGTAAAAACAAGATAAGGCTTAGATTTGCAGTACTGTAAAGCCAGCTCTAAATAATTATGTAACCATATAAAATGTGACTATTTTAAAATTTGATTTCATACCACAGGTAGTCCTCAAGTTATAACCGCAATTGAGCCCAAAATTTTCATTTCTAAGCAAGGCGATTGTTAAGTGAGTCATGCCCCACTTCACAACCTTTTTTTGCCATGCTTGTTAAGCTAATCATTACACTCTTTAAGTGAATCATGTGGTTATTAATCTTTTGATCTGGCTTCCCCCACTGACTTTGCTTGTCAGAAGCTTCCTAGGAATCGTTGCCAGTGACAATCACAAGGCCCCGAGATGCTGCAACCACTGTAAATACGTGATGGTTGCCAAGCAACCGAAATCTGAGCACGTGACTGTGGGGATGTGTAAGAACCACTCATAAGTCACTTATTCAGTGGCGTAACTCTGAATGGTAATTAAACAAATGGTTGTAAGTTGAGAACTACCTGTATATTTTTAGTTGTTTTAAGGAACAGTTTCCATTCAGAAAACTTTGAATTAGATTTAAGGTTCAGTTGGAAGGTTTGCCCCATTCTTTAGTCCATTCTCCTCTTTCTTCAGAGCTGTTTCATTAACATCTTGGATTTTTTCTACTGCTTTTACGTTTCTTTCACCCTCTTTTGTCCTTGCATCCTCATTATCTTTCTTTTCTCCATCTTCCTTCATCCTTTTCTTCTCTTCTTTTGCAAGCATTCTGTAGTTGTAGTAATTCATAACAAAGAGGAATGTCCCAGCCAAGACCATCACTGCCCCGCATTTAATGAACATGTATTTGTAGTCTCCAAAGGTATCAATAAGAGTACCTGTGGATGGAGAAGTGACATCTTAATTAATTATTAGTGACACTTATTGATCAAAACAGAATAAGGCTATGCAGATTCCAGGCAAATTTTGAATCTAGATTGCTAAAATGGTTAAAGAAAATGGTATCTACTCAATCCCTCAATTAAGGATGGGCTTTGCTTAAAATAAGAAATATCAGCAAATCCTAGGCTAATTTTGAATCAATATTTTGCCACCTTTTTCACTTGTGGTACATGCATTTCATCCTCCCAATTAATGTGTAATCATGGTTTTCTTTGACCATTTTCTTGTCCTTGAGATACTGTGCATTTAATAACCATCATGGTGACAATTTATTGAAAGTATGGTACTTAATTATTCTAATGTCTAATCAAACAAGCTACACATTTTGTAACAAAGATGAGACGCTGCCAGCTTGGGTGGATAAAAATACTGCACCAAGGAGCAACATAGCCTACATTCATGCTTTAATGTGGTGGCATTGCAAAAACATCAAACAGAGGCTAATTGCAGCTATTCTCAATTTCTGCTAATCAGGATGACCTTAAGATCTGCAAAATACATTTCAATGAGAGTTTTAATGAGAAGAGTACTGGAAAATTCAACAGTAGAAGAGTCTTTCCACCTCCCCCTTTGTGAATAAGAGAAAGTCATAAAACACACCAGGAAAAATTACTTAGTCCATTAAAGCAAAACCCAGTAGTAGGCTGTTAAATGCCAAAGAACCAATCAATTTGCCACTTATTAAATAGGGAGCAACATACTGCAAACTATTATAAAGCACTTTCTAGCCTCATTAACAGTTTTCAGCAATTAGCCCTAATCTGCTTCTTAAAACTGCATGCTGAAGAAAACATGCATGCTGACCTCTCACTCTAAGACGGGAAGAAAGAAGCAAAGTCCTCAGATAAAAAAAAGGATAATTGAATAATAAATATTTTTTATAAAGCCATTGAAACCTGAGATTCCTTTTCACTTTTTTGACAATTAATGGTCATCTGGTATGAGTTGAAGTATCATCACCCACTGAACATCTGTGTTTCAATGATTCTATTATTTACACCACATGCATTTAAGGTTGCAGCTTTTTGTCCAAAGCCATTTTAGTTCCACTACTACAGTCAACATGTTAAATAAAATTAAATCCTGTGGAGCAATTATTTTCTTAACAGCAAACAGCAATAATTTAATATAGATTGCAGTAATTTTGAACCTGCCACACATGGTCTTTAATTTCCTTGACTCAATAATATTGTTCTTCCAGAATAGAAACAACAGATACATCCTATATCTAGTACCTGTGTAAGGATTTAAAATCTAGCTAAATCATCCTAAAATAAATCAAAAGGAAATGGGCACATAAAAACTGTTAAGCAGTGGATTCTCTCTTGCTGGCAGTTTTCAGTTAGGGGTCACTTTCAGGGATGATTTAGTGGATTCCTGCAATGACCAGTCAATCAGATAAGCTGATCTGTAACTCAAACATTCCATGATTCAAAAGCAAGGGTCTTCAAACTTGACAACTTTAAGAATTGTGGACTTCAACTCCCAGAATACCTGAGCTTACATGACTGGAGGAGGAATTCTGGAAGTTGAAGTCCACAAGTCTTAAAGTTATCAAGTTTGAAGCCCCATGTTCTAAAGTGATGTTGTTGACCAGCAGTGATCTCCAATAATTTATTAAGAAAATTAAACATTTACCTTTAACCTGGCTGCTTCCATTTCATATCCTCTGATAAAAATTTCAAATGTTTTATGAAATTGCTAAACATGTATTAAACATATTTCTTCAGCGTGTGAATAGTATTGCTATAAATATTCACATATTTATTTGAAAGGCACCCAGGTCATGTTATCAGTGAGATAGAAGTCATCTCACTATAATCAATAAAAATAAACGAAGTGTAAAAAACTGAATGATTGCTAGATGGTCATGAATAATTAGAACTATCCATGTATTTTAATGCCACTGAGTGGTCATCTGGATTTTTGCAGTTCAGATATGGAAACACTGCTTCCATATACATACATACATACATACATACATACATACATACATAATATCAATAAATTATATTTTTCTCCATGAAGCCAGGATGACTTACATGGCTGAAGTCCTTAAAACATATTTCCATGATGGTGAATTATGTCTGTGCAGTCTTAATCCAACACCTTAGCTATCATGAAGGCTGGTTTTATCTTATGACTGCTGTTTATTTGTATATTTTGTATGTTTAACTGTATATTAATAATTAACTATTGAGCAGTTCAGAAATATAATGAACCAACTGAGATCCTATTTATAAATTTACTAAAAGAAATTACATGAATATATTATGTTAATCTCTATCCAAAACCTAACTATTAACTTGCCAGCAAAGAAATTTGAAGTTTTACAAGACACAGAACATTTAGTTAGCAAGGTTCACCTAAACTACTTTTTAAGCAGCCTTTGGGTAGTTTTAACAATTTAGTTCTGCAACATCCATTTTAATGAATGGAAAATTCCAAGGGAATGAATTTTCTTGTTGAGTGATAGTTTTATTCCTTGAGGCATACTTCTGATGAACCTAGTTTAAATGAAATTTGAAAACTTCACAAAATGTGGAATTGATCAGGACAGTGCAGAATCAAGAAATCAGATTTTAAGAGTAGGAGGGAAAGCGTTAATATCTAAAGTTTCTTCCTTGAAATTAAAAGTAATGATTTTTTATTGTTGAGCAGACTAATGGAAAGAAAATATTATAAATGTTCTTACCCCCAATAGGTGGCCCAAGTAATATGGTGCAACATTCCACTATGGTGACTAATCCTACAGCACTTGTGAAACGGCTGGCACCAACAAGATCCATGAGAGTTTCAAAGAGCATTGCACAAACCATACCAAAGGCCAGGCCAAAAAAGATAGAATAAATGACTAAGCCCATGTAACTTGTTGCCAATGGGCATAGCAGGTGGCAAACACCATTAAAAGCAATGGAAAAGCTGAAAAAATACTGAATTCTTGGCCTCACCCATTTGCTATTTGCAAGGAGCCCAGTAGCTGGCCTGGCTATCATGTCAACTATTGCTAGAATGGAAAGGAGAAAAGCTGCCGAATATTCATCAATCCCACGGTGCTTTGCATAAGGAGCCAAAAAGACAATCGGTGCAAAAAATCCTAAAAACATCAGCACGTTCCCTATCAGATAGATCAGGAAGCCTCTGTGCTTAAAAAGCGATAAGTCAAGGAACTTGTTGAAGTTTTCACAACAATCTCTGTCTTCCTTTGTTTCCATATTCTTCTCCCCTATTTCAGCAATGCCTCCATCAGTTTTTTCTCTTACGGCCCCTTTTGCTTCTTTATTTTTCTGCCTCTCAGAAGTTGGTCCAATTGGTCTGAAGAGGGCTCCAGCTACGCAGCAGTTCAGCAGAAGTGCGCCAAGAATAAAAAAGCTCCCCCTCCATCCAAAAGTGTCAAAAAGGAACTGGTTCAAGGGTGCAAGGGTGCAAAGCATGACAGGACTTCCTGCCATGGCAAGTCCATTTGCAATGGGACGTCTTTTCAGGAAATACTTCCCAATGATGATTACTGAAGGCTGGAGGTTCAGGGCAAGACCAAGTCCTACAGTGAGAGAATAAAAAAGAGGAATGTTACCTCATTAGATTAAAAAAACACACAACATGTTCTGTTATCATAGAGACTGATCAATTAAGCGTGTTCCAAACAGTTCTGTGGCCAGAGCATATTACTAAATCTACTTTGCCCTAATGCAAGATTCCTTAATTTAATGGTCTACATGTTTTGAAGCTACAAATCCCAAAAATCCACTCAGTATCACCAGGCCTTAGAAGACTGGCCCATTTACAGGTCAGATGTTTCTAAAACTCATCTGTGTGAAAACTGATATGAAGATTTATTTTTTAATAAACTTTTCAGAAGTAAACAATAGGTTTGCTAATAAAATTTGTAACAAGAATCTATATGCAGTGGTATTTTGGACAGCACTATTTGAAGAATAAACTGCTGTGAAAAGGGCATTATTTTAAAGTCATGACAAGAGCCAGAAATACATATAAGCGGATGAACATTTTATAGGAGAAGGTTCATGACTGTGCTTTGAAAACAAAGGAAATGGTATCTATTTTCTGGGTCTATTATAAATCATGATCAGCATGTGAAATAAAGAGGTCTGGCAGCTATTCTTGCTCTTGATACCACATTTCTGAACTTGTTCTGAAAAAAAGTAACTATTGTCATAGGGGATTTTGAGGACATGGTAGCCAGGAAATTAAATAAGTTTTATAACTTCTTTTAAATGAGAATAGACCGTTCTTGATTACACTTTATGCTTTGGTGCCACTGAATACTCAGTGCTTATTTTTTATTTTACATTTATGCTGCTCTTCTAGGAAGAGCCCAAAATAACATGCCAATAAGGAGAACAAACTGATGAAGGGAATGTTTGAAACCATCAAAATATGTTCCTGGAAAAAGGATTTCTCTGCCACTTACAACTCGCCTGAAACTGTCCATGAACATATATGCCAAAGTGTCCACTCCACCAAAGTAAATCTTGAAGGAATCTTGTTTGACTCTGGAGATTCTTCTCTTGGGCTTTTGGCAAAGTGGCATAATACAGTATGTGATCGTAAGAGCTCAATATTACTACAGCAATGCCTAGGTATACAACACCATGGTCATAATGCGGCACCATGGCCACAGGTAAATGTGCAAATGTATTACCTCTCCTTCAGGAGCTGCATTGGCTGCTGATTTGCTTCCAGGTGCAATTCAAGGTACTGGTTGTCACCTTTAAAGCCCTTCATGGCTTGGGACCGGGTTATCTGAGGGACTGTCTCTTGCCAGTTACATCTATCTGACCCATCAGAATGGGGAGGCAGAGAATGCTGCGGGTCCCATCTCGGAGGGAGATACACCTGGTGGAACCCAGAAGAAGGGCCTTCTCCGTGGTGGCTCCCTGTGTCTGGAACATCATTCCCCCAGAGATTAGAATGGCCCCCACTTTAATTCTCTTCTGGAAGGCACTGAAGACCTGGTTCTGCCTGGGGAACCTAGAGCGGGATGGAGCCCATTAAATGGCTCGTGTGATCTGTCGCTGGGGTGGGAGGTGGGGGGTGATTTTACTATATTAATTTATTTGATTCTACTTCTACTAGTTTTACTGTTTTAAATGTGGTTTATACCTTGTAAGCTACCTTGAGTCGCCATGGGAGAATAGGCGGCAATATAAATTCAATAAATAAATAAATTAAATAAATTAATGAAAACCACCAGGTATCTCTAGAGTCTTCTCTCGGGACATATAACTTTTGTAAACTGAGCCATGGTGGCGCCAGTGGTTAGAATGCAGTATTACAGTCTAATTCAGCTCACTGCCAGGAGTTCGATCAGCTCAAGGTTGACTCAGCCTTCCATCCTTCCAAGGTTGGTAAAATGAAGAGCCAGATTGTTTGGGACAATAGGCTGACTCTGTAAAC